GTTGGTGGGTTGGTTGGAAATTTATTATATCATAAATGCATTTATTATGAAATGAGGGCAATTTAGTCAATTTACATGATAAAATAAGGGGAGGGTCAGAAATCTGAGATGAAGGGGTCATGAATAAGTAAAAATTAAAAGGTGGTCAAAAATCCAGGGTGGTTATTGAAAGGGGTCAAAAATCCCAATTTCCCAAGAGGAAAGGGAAGAGAGGAAGGAGAGAGAAAAATAATGTAAAAATAAAAATAAAAGCCACTTAATCTAAAAATAAATATAAAATTAATAAAAATTGACATCTCATTTAAAATTTGTCGCTTCATCTTGCCACATCATCCTTCCGTTAGTCAACTAACGATATCAAATTAATTTAGGGGCAATAAAAATGTTCCTTTTCAAAATTTAGAGATTAAATAGACAGCTAACTTAAACCTCAGGGATAAAAATGTATTTTTTCCTGTGGTTAATAAATTTCTTTTTAATAAGTTTTATATAGTCGTTCTAATTTGAATATCATGTCAATTTAATCTTCACCTTTAAAAATTTTCATTGTCGTTAATGTAACGTATTAAATAGCTTGGCAAACTAGGATTAAAGTTCATCCGAATAGATTTGTTTCTAAAAAAAAAAAAATTGGCTAAATGTGTTGGTGGGTTAAATTAGGGTTAAAAGAATTATCCAATTATTCGACACATCATGTTAACATGGAGAGTGTTATCGGGGTGAGAAAGGAATATCTTTCCATCCTCGTCCTCCATTTCATTCCATGTGAAATTCTCCGTGAAATTTTGCGAGAATAGAGATGGAGGTTTGTTTTTTAAAATGGTTCTCCATTGATTTTCTATTAAGAAATTCTAAATTAAGAGTTAATTCTTCGTAATAAATCTTATCTAGACCGTTAAATTCTCACAAGAAAATTTCTTTTGAAAGGAAATTTGTTAAAATTCTTAAGAAGTCAGAAGTCAGAATTTGAGAGCGAGAAAAAATGAGCCTAGAGAATGAGGGAAGGAAGAATATGTGAGGAACGAAACCATAAAGGGATTTTTTTTATAGATAAACGAATTTCGTTCAATTAAGAGTTTCATTAGTATTATATATATATATATATATATATATATATATATATATATATATATATATAAACCAGGTGAAGATAGGGATGGAGACATATTAACATTTGTATTTAGATCGCATAATTTAAAATTAAAAACATAGTATTTAAATAAACACAAGGTCATTAACACATAATCTAAATTTAAATTTAAAATTAGAGGAAAGTTAGTGCATATATTATATCATAGATATACAAACTATATTAAGATTTTGAAAATACAAATTCATACATAAAAATTAAAATTGTCATTTTAATCCAATGTAATCTTAATATGGTCTTTATTATTTAAAAAGTTTTATTATGTTTATATATATCTATATATATAATTTGAATGTTAGCTTATCACCCATCCTTTTCAATAGGGTAAAAAGAAAAGTACGTCGGATTAATATTTAGTACTAATATAAATATTTTGAGATAATTAAGCAAAATTATAAGAATATAATGAAAATTTTAATAGTACTACACAACTCAAATATTAATTTTACTTACAATTTAATAAAAAAATAAATTTTAATATCATCAAATTAAACCACTGACTCATACAAGTATGGTAATTTTAACAAATTTGTGTTAAATTCATTCACTCATTTTAACAAAAAAAAATAAATAAAAGAAAAAAAAATATATCCAAAGCTAACTTATTTGAATAAAAACTAAAAGTCCAACGCACAAAATAAAATTAAAAAAAATTACTTAAAAACTCATCTTTTCTTGGTACCGAAGCCACTTTGCTGACTTCGCTGATTCGCTCCATTAGACGGGTTCCCTTCAGAAGCCAGCGAACACAAACGCAACTCGGTTCTGATTTCTGAAGAACAAAGAATCTGCAAACCAATACATCAATGGCGAGCGAGCAATCGGTTATGGCCGTCATCAGGGCAGCCAGGGCTAGCTTTCGCAACGACTACGACAAGGTCGCCTTTGCAGTTCACGCCACATTTCTCGCCTCCGGCTACGTTCTCACTGCCACTGGACCTTCGGCTTTTACTGACACCGCCTTTTCTTCTTCCTCTGTCGGTATGAGTTCTTCGTGCTTTAACGATTTCAATTTTCTTCCGAAGCTTAGTATTTACGAGTCTTGTATTGCGGTTTAGATGAAGTCAGTATCGAGGGCTGGAACGAATTAGAGGATGAGTACGCATACATTTACGCGAACCCTGAGAAGGATTCTAACTGGAAGAAAGTGATAGTGAAGTGCCTGGTGATGAACGGGAAACTGCTAATTGATGCCCTGACTGATAAAATTTCTGATCCGCTGCATCTTGAAATTGAGTACGCCTCTCGGATCTATGCGTATTGATAAATTGGTACTTTTTCTTGTTAAGATTTATATAATGAGTGTCATTTCTCTGTCCCCTTTTTAGCGTTGAGGAAATCGTCAATCCGAATGGGGGAAGTAATTATGCATCACAGTACCAAAATTTGGACAAACTGGTGAAACGCTTGGACTTGGAAATATTGTCTAAACTGGGCGGTTCTTCAAAAGCTACGACAAGTAATCCTACTAGGTAATGTTTATTTCAGATAATCAGTACTTTTATTTTAACTATTCATTTTTCCTGATGTTATTTAGAGGTATTTTAGTGGAATTGATTAGGACAACTCTTTTTGTCATTCTCATTTTTTGGCGCCTGATGTCATTCTCATGCTGCTAATTTTCGATTTGACGTTCATGGGTTGATTAATTAAACTTGCTTAGGACGTTGCAATATCCTGAGCGTCTTAAGTTTTATCCTAGTCACCAAGCGGTTGTGTCAAGAATTTGTAACAACTTATAAGGAGTCAGGTTTTTTTAGCTTCTATCATGGTTATGGGACTCAAATGACAGTTTGTTGGTCCCTTTTCTTGAATCTGTGTAACCTAATGTAGATAAAACTATGCCTTTGGCAATCATTCTTTAGTTTGATTATTTGTGGTTTACATGCTTGTGTGGTTTGCAGAGCTGGGAGAAGTGAAAGATCATCTGCAGACGTAAATGACCCTACTTTTGGAATTCCTGAGCGGCCTACCCCACCGACCGAGCCTATTTATGGAATTCCTGACCGTCTTGGCCCACAAATCGATCCTTCAGGGTCTCTCTCTCTCTCTCTCTCTCTCTCTCTCTCACACACACACACACAGTGTGCACATGCTCACAAAAGATCTATACAAGATTTTAGAAAAATGTCGGGACTTGACTTGAAGTTTCTAACAATTGTATACCATGGGCTTGTTTTGAGAACTGTTTTCAAAATTGTTTTTGACTTTTGTTCTCAAAACTATTTTTAAGAGGGCAATTCATAATTGAATGATGTGTAAATATTAATGATATTGTGCGAATAAAGATCACAATACATAAACTTGCAGTTTTAAAGGAGTGCGACTTCATTTGTTTTAAGACATGGATCATACGTGGGAACAAATTAAAAGCAAAGAAGAAAAGCAATTATTCAAGCATAATTTTAGTAAACTTTTGCTCTTAAAAGAAATAGAAAATCGTTTTGAAACTTCTCAAACAAACCTTATCGTTTGAGGATCTTGTGATATTGAAAATTCTGTAGCTTTGAAGTTGTAAGCTTAATTCTATTGACTTAGGTTTGTGCTGGTTGGGTCAAGAATGACAGTGTCAAGTATTCAGATTTGCTAGTTTTGAAGTTTCTAACCGTAGTTTGTATGTCATTTGGCTTTATAACCTTTTCTCGGTAGTACCATGTTTTCTCCTCTTCATGGATAGGTAGTGCCAGGCAGAGGAAATATCTGTGTGAGATTTGAGCTTCTTAGGCACCGTGCTAGTGTTAAATATGACAGTTGTCAGCTGATCATGTTTTCATTGCATTCCATAGCTTTCTTACTTCTTCGAGAGAGACTAACAGATTAAATCTATCTTTTCTGTTAGTATGATACTGCCCCTCCCACTATTAGACCCAAATAAGGAAAAAAAAACTATGTTAATTTTGTATTTCATTGACGTTATTCCTATTTTCTTGCTTTGCTACTTCAAAACAGAAATCAGTTTCTCTTAGTGGGGTATATGCTGTGATTAATTTTACATAAGAAAATGGTGGTCTCCTTTGAGACAGATTGTGGTAATCTCACTTAATGTACAAGAGTTATTTTTGCTCAATTATTGTGATGGTCGAATATTTGGTGATATTTAATAACTATCATTTTGTGTCTTTTGACCAATCCTTCCTAACTGATGACATTTTAGCTACCAATTTAGAAACTTACCTAAGATTCTATGTTCACAAATAATTTAACTATGAGTTTGCATCACATGAGTGAATTGTCATAGTAGTCTGAACATGGCTAATTTTGTTATTCCCTTAGAGTTGTAATTCCTCCTATTAATCCCCTGGGTGGTGGTGATCTTTTCYCTGGACCTGGTGCTGGAATGTACCCCACTAGGTAATTTATTTCAGTTCACTCATCATTGGTATATATGAGGCTGTGGTGGCAGTAAAATATCAGGCTAATTTTGTTTCTTTTATTAATGATTTCAGAGGTGGTATGGGCGGCGATGGGAGCATGCTTTTAGGTTTGTGAATCACTATTCTCTCTTCTGTAACATTTGATTGAAAGCAAGCGTGATTCCACTCTTTTTTTATGTAGGGCCTAATGACCCTCGATGGTTTGGGATCGGCAGAGGACCTGGTTTTGATGGCGGGCAGCCGTGAGTTGACTAGCTCTCTTTCTTCCACACTCACCCCTGCATTACGATTGCTGCTAATTCTAAATATTTTGAAACAGGGGTGTCCCTCCAGGTGCTCGTTTTGATCCATATGGTCCACCTGGTATTCCTGGGTTTGAGCCAAACCGGTTTGTTAGGTACATCAAAATTTTCCTGACATTGTGATTTAATATGATGGGCGCCGTCTTTGGCGTTCCTGAGTCTAAACATAGATGTTGGATTAAGAATTCTCTAATAGCTTTAATGATTTGCTGAATGCTGCTGATGATGAGCAAAGTTGAACGTGTATCTCACATTCTGAAACAGCGATCCATGGAAAACAGATAGGTCTTATGTTCATATGCAGCATAACTTGGACGTTTCTTCTTCCATTTCTTGCAGAAATCCTCGTAGACCAGGAGGAGGTGGGACTCATCCAGACCTGGAGCATTTCAGGGGCGGTTCAGATTTCATCTAGTCGGCCATGAAGCTCCTGGAAGTTAAAAGTTATAGGGAAAAACAATAAATTTCAGAGACTGATGGTGTAGCCATCTTGGAGATAGTTTATATGGGGCTCCTCTCCTGAAGTTTTTTTGTGTTTTTGTTCACCTAGAATGACTGTATAGCGTAGTAGTGTCTGTGAATATGGGAATGGTTATGTGCTGAATCTATCTAAGAATGCTTTTTGATTGTTACTTGTCTTGACGCTATATGACTATATGTTGGGCTGAAATAGAATTACTCAGTTTACTTAATTTCCCTTCATCTTCTACTGCCAACTCCCTTGACCCAGCCGTTGTAATTTCGAGTTTGTTTTTCCTTGCAATATTCCATCTTCCTCTTTCGGGTGTTGTTTTGTTGGTACTTATAGCTCAATTTGTTTTCCGTTAAGGGCCTGTTTGCCATTCAACGACTATTTATCTCTCTCTTTTTTATTCTTTAGAAACGTTCTCAAAGTTATATAAAAATTTTGGAATTTTGGATTAAAATTTTTTTTTATTGTTTCCGTTTTCAATTCGTCCCTCCATAAATAAAAATCATGTTAATCATTATTGAATTTTTGTTACCAAATAGACTCAACATTCTTGAATCTATGTTATCGAATGGATTCTAAATTAAAAATTATGTTTGATTAATGTGCCTAATCTAAAGATGCATGGTGGTGAAGGTGGAATCATTATATTCATAGATAATTGTGTATTGTGAATAGCTTTTTTAAGTGGGGATGTAGCTCAGATGGTAGAGCGTTCGCTTAGCATGCTAGAGGTTCGGGGATCGATACCCCGCATCTCCAAACATTATTCGTTCATTTGATATTTTTGATTAAAAAGTAAAATTATATTTATTATCTGTGGTAAAAAACAAACTTTGACCAACCAAGTGGGCGTGCCGGAGTGGTTATCGGGCATGATTAGAAATCATGTGGGCTCTGCCCGCGCAGGTTCGAATCCTGCCGCTCACGGGTGTTTTATTTTTTATATTATTTTATTGCTTCTGATTATTTTTTTTAAATTAGACTTACCCTCCTCTTCCTTTGCCCTACGTTTTTACCTTCAAACTTGTAGCAACTCCACTTTGAACGCCTCATTGATTTGATTAATTTATTTTACTTGATTTTATTTAATATTTTGGTTAAATCGAGTTGGACCAAATTACTTACAATCCCAATCTTGTTGTCTCTAATAAATTATTGTAAGAACACGAAATTAAAAAGGAAAATTCGTTCTATTACTATTGGCTAGTGAGATGCAAATTTCTTCTTATTTAATATTATTTTTCAATTTTAATTCAAGGATGAAATTGGATGGTGTATTGTCTTAAAACCGTGTCAACTTCAACTTATAATTTTTTAATGTTTTTCTATATTAATTAGAAACTTTAAAAGACAAGCTATAGGAATATAGGAATACGTTACTGTTATGGGTATATATTTGTTTACACTAATGTATTCCTATAGCTTATCTGGTCGAGAGCTATCACTTATTTTAAAGTTTCAAGTTTGAGTCTTACGTTGATTGTTGTTCAATCCAGACAACTAAATTTGATTATAATAATCTATTAACGTAAGTCACATGATATCATTTCTAAAAATAAAAGAAAGGGGTATAAATATTACATCTATTGTCCATCATTCATCAAATTATATGGCAATGAGATAGAGCATACCTTTGTCCCAAGTGAGGTAGAACACACTTGAGCCAAAAGTGAGGTGCTCAGCCATTTGAGAGGTGGAGCATACGTCTAGAATCTAAGAGGTGAGGCACATCTTTGGGCACATGAGAGTGAAGCCCACCTCGGCCACATGAAAGGTGTAGGCCATTTTAGCAACAAAAGACCTTGAGAAGTGGACCACACACTTTTGACCACGTGTGAGATAGAGCCCATCTTGACCACATATGAGGTGGAGAACATCTCATAACCTTCGACCTTGGATCGTGTCAGTATACAGTCTTCTGGGATACACAAGTCACATCCATCAGATTTTCTATAAATAGCAAAATCCCTCTCGAAGAAAAAGGTACATGAGATGACCTTTTCTTAACTCGACTTCATCTAGATCTTAAATACTAATTTAAGCACTCTGGGTTGGGCAGAGTAATCTACTAGTGTGAGTTCTTAGTGTAGGTCTCATCACCTTGGCTAAGTCACTTCAGCCCTCTAACCCTAAATCTGACATCAATAAAGTATACTTATTCTAAAATCATACCTCAAACAATTATTAGTATGAATTATTATGGTTTATATGTGTGTATATATTTTTAATTGCCATGTTTTCTATATATTCCTTTATATAGTGAAGAATAATATATTCTTCACACCAAGTTACACAAGTTTATTTTGTTAATTAATAGGTTAGTTTTATAGGGATACTTTTTTTGCTGGTCTTGTTAATTAATTATAACAACAGAAAAATATGTCAACTAATAAGTTCATGAATAACTTCCCCTAGAGGAAGAAAAAAGAAAAGTTCAATCACACAACTCAATTCCAAAAAATATTGTATAATCTCACATGCTCATATATAATAGAAAATCACCTGTCCACTTCAATTCTAAGTTTAGTATACTACAAAAAAAAAAAAAAAAGTTCAATGGCTTTCTTGTAAGGCTTAAAAACTACTGAATAAGAAAAAGCTTTGTGTATTTGTGCTTATTAGGTGGGCAGTGAGTATGACACAGAAGAAACAACCCAATGTACCATCAGAAGAACAACTTAATCGAATATTGTATAGAATGAGCCCTAAAATTAGAGGAATTCAAAACTATGAAAGCAAAATTAAAAACTAGAGTTCATCGCAGTCAGAATCATATTACCATTAGAAAATTAGACCCCAATCAACCAAAAATGGAAGAGACGACCTATTCCTAGTTTAATACTTACAAGATATATTAATACTGATGTTTTAATGAGGACAATCTCCTAGGCATTGGATCAGAGCTTGGATGAGGCCATCATCGTTACAATTGAGAATTTCAAAGGAGATGTTTGGTTAAGTGTATATATATATTCTTACTATTCTAAAAATTTATATGGCTTTCACCTTACGTTGCTAATGGATAATAGTGTCACCCACGAGTTCTTATTATACACATAAAAGAGAATCACACATCCTATCGTCACACCGTTCGATTGAAGAACACGTTCAAACAATAAATTAATGTTGTTTGAGAAAGTGCTCCTTCATCATGTAAAGAGTGAGAGCATTTTGTTGCTTTATTTTCATTGAGGGTCGAGGCCAAGTGCTATATATAGAAGAGAACCGATAATTGCACCAGGGTACAATTATTGATTTCTTACTATTGTCTTGACACTTGTCTCAACATAATTTGATACAACCTAAAGAGATAGAGTATGGCCGACAAGACACGTCCTTGACTGGCATCTTATCTCTTTGGAATCTACTTTTAAAAAGTAAAGATAAGCGTGGCCGACAAGAGGCATCTTATCTTTGAAAAAGCAGGAAAAGAAATAAAGTAAAGCGGAAATAATTACAACTTGACAAAATAAGAAAAGTTGGAAAATAAAGGCTGATATGACTGTTTTTGGACTGGATGCCTTGCTTTAGAAATCTGAYGAAGTCACCCGGCTTCTTCTGATTTAGCGAGGATTGCGGATTCTGTATATCAATCGTAAAGGCTCCTCTGGTTTCCAATTAGGCCGTTCCATCCAGGGTCTTACTCTCGGCTTCCCGCCTTTCACTGCCCAAGGAACACCATAGATTTTCGACTAGAGTTGCCTTGTGAGATATGGAATCCTCTCATCTGAGTCAATCATGTACGCTACCTGCGTTGCCTTGTGGTTGGTTATTCTACATCAGAAGCATGCCATCTACTGCATCGTGATTTCTTCTGCAAGTCCTTCACAAAAACAAACTGGGATAGTGATGATAAGATCGGAATACAATGATCTTATCGAAAATTCAAAATGAAATTTAAACAAATTAATTTACATAATAAGAAATTAAAATTAAACAATTGAAATATCTAGTCTCAGCTGGGCTGTGAATCTAGATATGGGTCGTTGATGTCGTATCTATCGAAGGGATCGAAGTCTTCTTCGTCGTCTACGGCATCATCGTTGACAGAGGCGGATGAGTCAACATCCGTCTGGACATCGTCGGGATCAGAAATCTGAACTGCGACGGTATTGAGGACCGAGTTGAAGTCGGCTTGAGATCCGGCTCCAGCAAGTGAACTCATGATGGTATTTTTCGCCAGAAGGAAGCTTTCATCTTCTTGCCTTGTGACGTCTTGGAGATGAACATTGGTTTTCAACCAATCCTTCATCTTGTCTGATTCTAGGTAGGAATAATCGAATTTTTCCCACCATTTGACGCGGAGAGCTTTGCTCAACGCTTTAAAATTTCCACTGGGTCCTAGCTGGAAATTCCAGCAAAGGATCCATGGTATTTGAAAATACAAAGCGAATCTAAACGTCTTGGAGAGAGGAGACGAATAGATACTTTGTTGAAATAGGTGGTAAGATTTCTGAACTTCTACCGGAAAGATCTCTTCGGAGAGTCCAAAGTAAGTCCACCATGTTTGAAACCAAATTGGAAAGTGAGACTTGTAAGCTTGCTTACAGAATGTCACAAACCAGGAATGGTTATAGCCTTGCAACCAGAAGACAATATACCACGCTTTCATGTAGTCGCGGTAATTGTAAGTTTGCGGTTGGAAGGTTACTGACAGTCTCTTCCCTACAAACATGCCCTGTTTCCAAGAGGAAGGGGTAAGGATGCGGAAGATCCTGAGCTTTRAGTAAATGGTCCTAGAAGGATCATTTCTGTCTGGAACATGAGTTATTTCTGCARACTTTGAATCTACTAGAATAAACTCATAATAAGTTCGGGTTTTTTGAAGATCCTCTGGCAGGTAGTTGAAGCCTTGAGGAAATATTTGCTTGCAGACTTCTTGGACTGAAGGTCCGTCGAACTCTGGTTCAATAATTGAATCTACTAGGGTAGTTYTGGTGAAATACCCAGTGATTGGAGGCCTTGGCTGAAAAACCTTCGGCCTAACTATTTGAGAAAACGAGGAAGGGTTCCTCGGAATCGTTGGTCTGGAAGTGRCGGCTGCCGTAGCAGGGCGCCTATTCCTCGTTGTATTGCCGCGAGGGCGTAACAACGTRCTTGAAGGGGTTGGAAGGCTTGGAGGGCCTGTTTGAATAGTCAAGGCTCTTTGGGAAGAACCTTGCYGACGCCTGRATACCGTTTCAAACTGGATATCCATAGCATAATTTTCTGCACTCATTG